TTGTTGGTAATAAGTTTTTCTTCAAGAATTTATTGCTGGTAATAATCTTTTACAAAAATGTATTGCTGGTATTAAAACCTATTTTCACACTTTCATAATGTTTTGACTCAAGTTTAGGAGTTAACCATTTTCCCATAGTTGGGACCCTAACAAGTGCTATCACCCCAGGTCAGGGTGGACCTGGGAACACCAATTAAAAGATGGTTCCAGGCTCCTCAAAACCTCCTGATCCTTGCTGTTAGACAGTTTATCATCTTACCCAGGATGCAGGTGGAGTTTATCATCATACACAGGATGGCTTAAGAATTAAGATGCATCAGAAAATTCAAATACGAAGCCATTAAATTTTTGTACATATTTCTAATAAAAAGACATTTAAAAAAAATATTCATCTAACTTATTGACAAACATTTCCCAAAATCAAACTGCATAAATTTTCAACAGAAATATCCTAAAAATTAGCTACAGTTATACCAAAAAGGCATTCTTCTTAGTAACCTTCTAGCTTGTGTGGCTCTTGGGTCTTATATTAAGTGGGCAATGCCATAAAAATAATTAGTAATAACAATTACTAGTAGTAAGCAGAAGTAATAACTTTCTATATGTCGTCATGTCAGGACATGGGTGATCATGTCTCTCCACATTTTCCTGTCTTTTGTAGCTCTTAGTAAATTTTGTCTTTTTGCTATTTCCCCATAACTTTGTTCTGCCATCCATTTACACAAACTCATTAGGTAGGTTATGTGCCGTTCCTTTTATGTCTCTTGTCCTATGAGTGCCAAATTTTCTAAGTCCATTTATCCTCATTTAAGTCCCCTAGAAGTTTCAGCTGTGTCTTCCAGATGTTAAACTTCAAGTCTTTTTTTCATTTGTAAGATGTTCTAAGAAGGCTTGTGTAAATAGTTGGCAGAACAGGGTTCAGGAGAGATAGCAAAAAGATAAAATAAGAGCTAAAAAGGATGAGATATTGTGGAGAGACATAATTGACCATGTCCTGAAGGGATACGGCATCTAGAAGAACAAGATTGTATAAATGGTTGGCAGAAGAGGAATAGTGTAAAGACAAAATTTACTGGACAATCTCACAGATGAAGAAGTGACATGAGGCATCAGAAATGTGGTTCTACAGAAGGATACTGAAAATACCATAGACTGAACATGTGAGCAGCGATAAAGTTTTAGAGAAAATGGTTTTAAAAAAAAACTTAAACATAACATCAGTAAAAGGCAGTTGAAATTTCTAGGTCACATTATGAGAAAAAAAGGCTTTGAAAATTTGATACTCATAGGACAGATTGAAGGCAAGAAGGACAGAGGAAAACTATGTATCATTTACTTTATGAATTTGAGTAAATGGATGGTGGAGAAAGATTTAGGAGAGACAACAAAAAGACAAAATTTGTTAAAAGCTACTAAGGGCAAGAAATTGTGGAGAGCCATGATCGACCACATCCTGAAGGGACACAGTATGCAGAAGAAGGTCTTCATGGCATAAAAGGTCTCCTCACTTGAAGAATTGATGCAATATAATGTTCCTAACCAATTTGTTCTTAATGGTAGAGTTTTCTAATTGTTATTTTGTCTAGACTAAGCAATTTACTACGAGTTAGTAAAAATCGATATTTTATCTCATGAAAATCAAAACAATCTAACTTAAAAAAAAAAATTAATTGTTGCAGTTAAAATAAAAAGCAATAGGCTAATTATTTCACTTGCTTTTGGGTAATTAATTTTCTCTAGACTAAATGAACTGTGTTCAACAGAATTCATTTTTTTTTTTTTTTTTACTGCCAGAAGCAAACTTTTGTCCAAAAATCATTTCTGTCTAATTCAATTATGTTTATCAGCCAGATATTCTTATTGGTGTTCTAAGCAAGATTTATCTGCTACATTTCTTGGTTTTATTTATTTTTCATTACATAATCTACACTTCCAAGCTTACAGTACCTGGTATTGCCAAGCGGTCACCCAGCAAGGTACTGACCAGGTTCAACTTTAGTGATCATGCAGAAACCAGAGTTTCAATGTGATCTGGACATAAATCTGTTGGTACAGATCTTAGTGATTCAGCAATGCCAGCTTATGTGGTTCAAAGAAGGATGGTCCTTATTAAGACTTACTGGGTCGATTTCCTAGAACCCATTTTTTAATCATTAGGTCCATGAAAACGTTTGTGACAACGGACAATTTAGATATTTCTGAATGGGTTTGGTGCCATGCATGACATGCAATAGATTTGTAAGTCAAATGAAAAAATGAGGGAGATTGTATTTTACAAGTATGATGTTAAATATGCCTTTGTTGTTGATATTTATTCTACTTATCTTAGACCAAGCCCAAATGAAAGGGGAAATAAAAGCAGGAAAACCTTCCAAGTGGAGAAAGTTTGTCTGCTTAGATAATCAGCAATTCGAAGTTCAGAACTTCTAGCAAAGCACGTACCTCCTGCACTCATGTGAAATCTGCTATATATCATTCTGCTTTTGTACCATGTCTCTTCAGGATGATCATGGCTCACCACAACTTCCTGTTTTTTGTTGTTCTAACCTTTACTCTTTACCATCTTTATTTGACATTGTTCTGCTATCCATACACACACACACACACACACACACACACACACATTTCTTGGTTTTATTCTTTTTCAAAAATCAGTTATCAATCTGTAAGTGGTTCAGTCTATTATTTTTGGTGGGTTTTATTAATACACGGTCTTTGCAAAAAAAAATAAATTTCCTCCTATACAATGCTCAAGAGCCACTCAAGGTAGAGGTTTAATTGAAATGATAATAATAAATGAGGCATCTGATACGAATGCAAGAGGTGATTGTAAGAGCAGATTATGAGGATCAGGAGAAAAGGTAACAACGTGCTTGAGGAAGTATCCATGTGGGTGTTTGTTCAACAAATTATTTTTCTTGCTAGCATTGATGGAAACTTCTTTCCTAGTATAAACAGACAAGTTTTAATTCCAACTGGACTCACTTATGTACAAATACCCTTGAGAAAAGAATGAATCCCACTCTTTTCCCTAGCTATGGGTTAAATAAGACTTGTTTTTTGAAGATCATTGTTATTCTCAAAAAATTGCTAATGCAATGTTCACTTGTAAAAAAAAAAAAAAAAAAAAATCTTGTCCATATTTCTGAGATGAGGTATTATGTACACTATTTACATTATTCAGAATATTGTCCTCATTTTTGTCGCCATATTTATCACATCATTTCGGCTGTTGTACACTCCAGCCGTCTTCAGGTGTTTAGAATGTTGATCTGAACCCTTTATTTCACTCACTGGGGTAGACTGTTCTAATTCCACATGCCATGTCTAATGGATGTCAGTTATCTCCTGTTAATTCCTCTCTGAAATTTCTCCACTGCCTTAACCAAGAATTGAACTGTCACTGGATCTGACACCTTTATCCACTGTGCCATGTGTCCTTGAGGACATCTGTGTATGAATTGCTGGGTATTATAAACCTAATGTCTTCAGTCACCTTTTTTTAAGTGCTCATATTGCAAGTTTTGCTGTTATCATTTCATGTTTTTTTTACCAGAGCTCATATTTGTTGTAGTTATCGCTTTTCTTTGACACTCCTTATTACTGGTTCCCATATTGTATTCATTTTTATGCTTGGTCGGCTCAGGAGATTTTCGTGGCCTAGCATATTCTTACAATCGAAAACATTTTGGTTTTTAAATAACCCACAAAGGGTTGATAAACCATAAAAAACTAAATCAATCATTCTTTCCTGACTTTTCATTTGATTATGTCATTTTCTACACGTGCTATCCATTTTAGTCATTTCTTCTGTTAGGGGTCTACAAGTGATGTAATTTTTGTTATTTGATACAGTTCTTTGTGATTCTGCAGTGCCAGGCCATAACATTTGAAGAGGAATGGACTTTACTAAATCCACAGGATTCATAGCTCAGATATTTCACAATGGGTTTGGTACCATACATGACATCTATATAAAAGTTTTGATCCGACAAGGCTATTTAAGAACATGACTTCTTTTTCATATTAGTGTTTTGGCCTTGTAGTGTTGAGCAAAATCTGTCATCATTTTTTACAGCAGGAATAAGTTAGTCTAAGATACTGCTGGATATAAATGGGGAATCAGTTTTGTATCGTTATAAACAGATCTGATTTAGAATCACTATATGCTAGTTAGAAAAAATATATTTAAAGAAACAGGAAAATAGGTTCCTCATGTCCAGGAGCTGTTATCACTCTTTCCAGTGTTAATGGAGGTTTCCTTTCTAGCATTTTGTTTGAAGTAGTGTGGAATATCAACATCTTGATCATATATTATTTTTGTTCAAGTTGCATGTACTATTCATTTCAGTTGTTGCCACTGTTGAATGTCACCATGTGATGTTTCTGTTATGTGATACACGACTGATTTTTTATAGCTTATGAACTCTTTTTTTTTTTTTTTTTTAGGTTATTTAAAGCCAGAAAATATTTTTGGATTTAAATTTTTTTAAGATAATAATGGTTTACTAATACAAGTCTTAATAATTAAACCATAGCTGGGGGAAGAAGAGATGGATTCATACCTAATCCAAATTTGAAAAACAAACAAATATAAAGTGGGGGATCAATTCTATATTAAAATCAATATATGGACTGATCCCTCATTTTGTAGCCACAGTAGTTTCTATACATTTATATTCCAGAGAATATGAATAAATCTAAACGATATGACTGTGCAGCTAACCAGTAATTCATTGATAGATTTTTTACAGCTTACCAACCCTTTGCAGATTATTAAAAGCCAGAAAATATTTTTAGATTTTAAGAATTATTTTTAAGATAATAATGACTTAGTAATACAATTCTTACTAATTAACCCATAGCTGAGGAGAATAGGTGGATTTATAACTTTCCCAAGGGTGTTTACATGTAAGTGAATGTCACAAACCCGACTGGAACTCTGCTCTCTAATTTACAAATCTGAGCCATTTTCCATTGCAGAACCTGGATAACCAATCTTACAGCACCTGGTATTCCCAAGGGGTCACCCATCAAGGTACTGATCAGGCTCAACATTGCTTAACTTTGCTGATCGGGCAGAAACTTTTTTTCTTTCTTTCTTTCTTTCTTTTTTTTTTTCATTTAAGCATTTCACCCCAAGCAAGGCGGGAGTGCCACTCATATGCAGAGGGTTACAGAATGTGAAAGTGAGAAAAAAGACTATAGGTGAGGCGAGGAAAAGATGAACAGGGTTCAAGTCAACAGAAGATGGCTGTTGATGTTGCATTTAAATTTTGGAAGAATGTATTTATCAGGGAAGCAAATAAGAGAAAGGGAGTTCCACAGTTGTGAAGTACGAGAAAAGAAACTGTTGGAGTTGGCGGTTACATTTAACTGTTTCAACAGTAAAAGAACGAGACCTATTTAATGTGATATGGACGTATGCCTGTTATTTTGTACAGTTCTGTGAAAGAGCGCATCTGAACAAGGTTACTGATCTTGTTCAGAATGTTGATCAAACCCTCGGTCACGATGACTTGTGACTTTGTGCTAGCACATACTTCAGCAGCCCTCAACGGCCTACAAGGCTTGTGTCAACCCATGATATTTTTTTCAGGCATTTTCCAAACGTGCCGAATGCTGGGATCGCCTCCTCCAGGCCGATAACATCAAGAGATCACTTTCCTGATAAATCAGCCATGATTAGATTCGAATCCAGGTGTCTTAATTAGTATTGTTATTTACAACGCCATCCTTTTTAGCATTATTATCGTTATCTTTTAAGCGTAGCTTAGATGTGGCACAAGGCCAAAAGTATGGGGCACCCGGTGAGAATTGAACTTGCTACTCAATCGTAATTGTTCTTGCGAGACAAGCTTGGTAAGCATTACACCACGTCGGGAAGTCCAAGCATTATTATTATTATTATTATCTAATTATTACTGTTATTATGATTATTACTTTGACTATTATTAATACCATCAGAGATTGTACACTTTATTCACTGCATATAATGTTGGTTGCTGTTATGGTGAAACACACCTATTCTATAGTTAATAGAATAATATATACCTAATATCAGTAGCAATAGTAAGAGAAACGAAGGTCAGTCGATGTCGGACGACCGGCTGAACGGTTGAACTCTCTGCCTTCGGGCGGGGAGGAACCCGAACGAGGCTATGCCAAAGGGCAGTCTCTCGTTCGGGGAGGTAAACCGACCCTGAACCCGGTTTTACGAGTTCAAAGGGTAGATTTTTGGCAGGGCCCACGGGCTCGGAGATCCCACGTTAAACCGGCCTTGTGCCATATGATACCCTCGTGGGGGGTGACTAAATACTAGTCGATGTCGGACGACAGTCGAACTCTGTGCCTTCGGACAGAGAGGAACCAGAACGAGGCTATGCCGAAGGGCAGAGTTTCGTCCGGGGAGGTAGACAGACCCGATCCCGTTTATGCGGGGTCTACGGGGATTTTTTGGACTAGCCTACGGGATCGGGAACCCTACATTAAATTCGGCCTTGTGCCACATGTGACTGCGTGGGGCAGTTACTAAATAGCGTCGATGTCGGACGACAGTTAGTCGAATACGAAAGTAGTCAGCAACCACAACAAGATTACTCTGTGTAATACCTATTATATCAAGTTCCTAACGTTTTGTACGTTTAACCTATTTTAGGACCGATTTAGTACAAATACAAGCCTCCACTGCGAAATCACTCCACAGCAGTTGCTGATAACGTTTATTTTCATGTCGTCTTAAGAAAATAAACCTATATATTTTTTCTTTTTATTGATAGTCTACACTGAACACTTTCTGAAATATACTTGTTTTTTCAAACAGGCATTCCTTTTTGTAAAGTCTTTATTTCGACATTACAATCTAATATCTGCAAGGATCCCCTGTCTTTTTTTTTCTTTTTTTGTACAACGCCTCAGTACCCCAATGATCACTAGTCCTGTAATTTTATTTTCTTTGCTAGTCAACCCTCAAATTCCATACTTTAAATCATTATTTTCTTCTTTCATTTACTTTCGCTACTCCTGTCAAATGGACAAATGTTTGGAAACAAGTCTTTTTTTTTCTGTTTGTCCAGCAGGACTAAATCTAGTTCATTTTGCTCTAAAATTGTCACTGTCTCGGAAGACCCCACAGGATTTTTGCTTTGCTATTCTGCAAGACATTTTTCTCCTTTGTGATCACATCTTCATAATACTTGTCACTGCATTCAAACCCATACTTTTTACAGTTTCCAATGAATGATTACAAAACTTCATTATTATTACCATGAGCGGCTAATTTCGACGGACGTCTTATGGTACACATTCCGTAAAAATATCCAGAATCCACTGACTTTTCTATCCTTAGAAACGTGTGTACGAAGTCTGATCAAAAAGTATCAGGACTGGCGCTATAAAAAGAAAACTACAGCACATATCAGCCCAGCATTTAATCTCCTTCGAAGGAGACCTTCTGAAGCCAGGCACTTTATCCACTGTTGTTTCTATTTGTGCAAGCATTATGGAAATCATTTTGGTGGTGTAGCGAGCAGCTGCCTCGTAGCATTCTCTTAGATTTCGTCGATGTCTTGAAATCTTGTTCCTTTTCAAGTGGGATTTAATACCTGAAGAGGATAAAAAGTCGCAATGGGTGAGATCGGGGAAATATGGCGTTTGTCAGACCTGAGAAATGTTGTTATTAGCCAAAAACTGCTGCACAAGCCATGGTCACTGATGGAAGCTGTATGGTGTGGTGAGACGACCACACTCTACACGCTTTCCTTCCGAGCACTGCTATAAACAATGGAAATGAGCGAGAACATTATAACTTAGTGTGTATGCAAGACAGGGTTTAAGGTCAATCCATGCTAAGTGGCTTCACATCTGCGTCCTTTAGAATTCGCTATCGTAGCAATAGTCCCGATACCTTTTGATCAGACCTCGTTCACATGTGCAAACTACAAGCGTCCCACCTCGGTTGGATGAACAAAATGACAGGAGAGTCCTCTACGATTTATGCTAAATTGCTTGAATAATTGCTTTTACTAACTAATCAATTAACTGAAAATTTCATGATGAGGACAATCCCCATCATGCTACGCACGCAAACACACTGGCTGCGTTTCATTCGTTCTGTCGCATTGATTACCAATACAACTATTTTTCTCAGGGAAAGCGACGTTTGTACATGGACTTGTAATTTTTATATTTTTTTATACTTTTATATAACTTTATATATAACTCGAAGAAGACAAGCATACTGTCGAAATATTGTTAAATACTGGCTTTTCTTTTTCTTTTCTTAAATCACACTCTTCTCTAAATGTTGTAAAATTATGAAAGTTACATAATTTCTTTTATTATTATTATTATTGCTGCTGCTATTGCTATAATTAGCTGAAGAGTAACTGAAGGCAACATGTAAGCTCAGTGTTAAGTTATTTTCTCTTTATCATCATCTGAGTACTGTATCCCTTCAAGATGTGGGCGATCATGACTTCCTTGTGGGAAATTTAGCGACTTCCCAAATTGAGTCGTGGCAGATGAACAAAAACAAGGCAATTGAACAGTTTAAAAGGCATACTTTATATAAGAAATACATTATAAAACGAGAATAAAAATAGAGAATTGCTAAAACGTATTCCTTCAGCAGTTAGTCATGGAGTCGGGGACGAAATCCAAATAACTGGAAAACAGGAAGCAGCGAGGCAATAGTTGTAATGATTGGAGAGAACTGGAGCCAGCTCGACAGCACATTTCTTTAGGATGACGGCTAGTATCCCGTCATCTCCACTTGCTGTCTAATTTAGAAATGATGTCCAAAAACAGTGACGGAGTTATGCACATATCACTCATTAGGGCCTCAGTTCTAGAGGCGAAATCAGGTGTGGATACTCCAAATAAGTCGAGTGTTGAGTTAGAAGAGAATTTACGAGCAAAGCATTCAACCATATCTGCTGTAGATGTCAGGACTTCGAATTGATCGAATAAAGGAGAGATTGAGGATTTGCAGAGCTGCCAATAATCTCTGGAACTGAACTCGCGAGATGCTATACATTTTCATTTTGTCAGCAAAACAGTAACTTCGCTTCATTGAGGACAAGCTTACACTCATTACGAGCAGAGACAAAGACGTTGTAATCAGATATGTCACTCTGGTATAGCCGGAAGAAGTGATTACTGTGGGCTATAGCGGCCAAGCATGCAGGTGAAAATAAGAGATGAACACGGGTTTAATTTGGTATTTCCTTGCTGGAAATGTCGGCTTTCACCGAGGAGGAGACCCCAGATGCGCATTTTATGACAGGGTGATTAAAAACTTTATTCCGAGGGATGTTATGAAGGAAATCACGGAACGAGTCGCAATCTGCTCGTTGATAACAGAAAGATATTTTATCAATAGGAAGTTCTTGACTGGTAGAGAGCAAAAGGAGATGTCTATAGACACGACCGCATCATCGGAGTTGCCAAGAGCTCAAAGCTGCGTAGTAGGACAAGAGTCGGGGTTAAAAAAAATGATCGAGAAGAGAAGCGTCTCTGTCAGGATTACTGGAGAAACGCGTGTTAAGTCAACCACTTTCATGAAAGATTGAGAAGTTAAGGGTTTGGATTCCAGCGATTTCAGTAACAAGGTTTAAACCACCTGGCTTGGTGGGCATTAAAATCACCGAACACAAATATATTTGCAAACGGGTGTAGGGAGATGGCCTTGTCTATCTTATCGGAAATACTATCTAGCACGAGAGAAAGGAGAACAATAGAAAAAGAGATAGATGACTGAGTTAAGTATAGAGAGAGAGAGAGAGAGACAGACAGACAGACAGACACATGTAAGAATAAGCTAGAGATTCAAAAGAGAGTTCCCTAGCCAGCGGGGGATGTACGCAATCATAAACTCCTAGGCCATGCATGTGGACATTAGAATCCTTTCGAAGAAGAAAAAGATAGCCAGCAATCGAGAAATAGAAGGGTATTGAAGAGTTAAGATTACTTTCGCAGAGAGCTAGGATGCCAGGAGACTTTTCGAAGAGGGACGATTCCACACTGCAGAGGTTTGTACGAATACCATGAATGTTGGGGAAAGAAAGGTTAAGGGGCT